CTACTCGTCGTCTCTCTCTCTCTCTCTCTCTCTCTCTCTCTCTCTTTTCTCTCTGTCTCGGAAATTTAGTTTGCTTCCAGTTTATGAAGAAAGCAAAATTGAAATTACGTGTGCGCAGAAATCTGGATTACGTGTGCAAAGAGAACGGGCGCTGCATCGTGGATGTATCACGGCGCAACCAGTGCCAAGCCTGCGTTTTTACGAAGTGTCTTCAGGTCAACATGAAACGAGACGGTACGTTTTGTCGATGGGATTTCTGAAATTATTGCTTCTGAAGCAATCTAGGATTATATCGAAGATTGATTGTCCAAAAAAGAAAATAATGGAAGGCACAATAATTCACTCCATTAGGTAATATTTAACATTTTGTTACGAATATTTTATATTTTGTCACGAAAATAAAATTTATTAACGAAAAATTTTCTCTCTAGTTTGAAGAAAATACAACATTGTTATCTTTGCATTAATGCCTAAGTTTTAAATAAAAGATGATTAAGATTCAGAAGGTTAGCCAAAGATTCATTCGAAAAACTGGAGTTTTCAGTCAAAAATTAGAGAGGTGACAATTGTCATTATATTTATTTAATTACATCTTTCTTTAGTAATATTATGTAATAAATTCTGTTTTAAGTATTTTCGTTCTAAACGTCTGATCCTTATACCTAAATCCGTTTCCGCGATAATTCGTCCCTTTTTTTTTCTTGGAAAAAAAAAAAAAATACATTGTAATACTTCCCGATTGCTGAAGCCGCAAAACGGCACTCGACATGTTTGCACGGAAATATCCAGCGGAGTACGGCTAAGTGAGAGATGTATATTCTGCTTTCTGACAATCGCAGAACTCCCTGGAGTCTGACAGGTCGAGGTTTAACGGAAATCGAAATGTTTCGACGTTTGATAACACCACCGAGATCATCGCGTTTTCCTATATTATTCTTGAAGTAACTTACAAGTCTTCGCTTTATGGATCAAACCGCAATCAACGATCTCCGGATTGTTAATCTCGATGATACGCAAAATAAAATATTTATCCAGTTTGATGTAAAAACTTTCAGTTGTAAAGAGAAATGATAAAGGAGTTACGATTTTCTGAAATTGAAGAAACGAAATATTTGTTAATTTAATTTTTTTAAAAGCGACATTTTTCTCAGCAAGATAACTAAAATAACAAATCGTGCTCCTCGTATATAGACATTAGCGACGTAATATGGCGATAGGTCTCGCATTTCAGGCAGGATAAGCCTCGTATTTTGTTTTGATACGCAAAAGATGCGTTTCCAAATATAATGCAGAGCTTTTAGATGCGCTCGGTAAGAATAGAATATGTCAAAGTGCGAGCGAGGTGGATATTACAATACGCGTGCTGACGTCTCGGCCGGCGGGGCGGAAGAAGAACGATCTGGAAAAAGCGAAGTGTCCACATTTCGCCGTCCCACATCCCACGTCCACACGTCCACATGAAACTCTATACGTCTGCTTACCGAACGGCAGGATCCGGTGGCGGACGGTGTCAGAAGCAGCCTGGCGTTCACAGCTTTTGTAAACAGCTCCGGCCCCCTTATGCGTCGAGCGATAATCCAAACACTTGATTGCTGAGATATCAATTAGGAAGGAGAGAGGTGGAAGGTACCATTAAAGGGCCACTGCACTTCTCCTCGCGCTTCTCTCTTTTTTCCCTCGTGCGAAAACGAATAATATGAAGTGACGATCATTATTTATTAATATTAATTATTATTATTATTTTATAAAAACGTTGAGAAAAATATTATTCATGAGTATGCAAAGTATACTCGCTGAACTCAGTAAAACGATAATTTAATCACAGCAAAACAATTAATATCCAAACAGTTCAAAATTTTCATAATAACTTTAATGACTTTAATGGTAATTTTTATTTAGCTGTACAACACGAAAGAGCCCCGAGAAGCACGTCGTCTCTCGTTGCAGCGGCGAGGAGGACCTCTTCGGGGCTTTACACGGGTATCCCTAATGTCTATCATCCTGCGAGCAGCACCTATCACCCTCTCTTATATCCCGCATTATTCCCCTTCAAACCCACGGTACCAACGTTCACCCCGTCAGTCGGTGAGCACGTATATATAAACATATACATATCATTGAGTCGATATATATTCTTCCGGTAATAAAATATTGCATATTGCCTTGTCAGCGCATTTTTTGCCACGACCGTCCTCGGAATCTTTGTCTATGACTACCGCCAAGGAAGACGAAGTTACGAGTTCCGAGGAAGCGGCTACCGTCGATGTCAGGATCGAATCGAAAGGTATAAATTAAACAAACAATAAGCAAATCTACATCGACATTCCGATTTTCGAGTAACGAGAAATTTTCGGCGGAAAATCCACATTTCTTCAAACGGATTAATTATTTTATTTTATAGGGGAACTAGTAAGTACCCGTCTGGCACCGCCGATTATCACTTCCGTCTCATCGGAATACACCATGCAAAGTTTATCTCTCCTGCCGACTGAAAATATCTACGAGTTCGCGGCGAAGTTACTTTTCTTCGCCGTGAGATGGGCGAGAAGTATACATTCTTTTCTGCAAGTAAGCTTTAAACATTTCTTCTATTAATAAAATTAAACACACGACAAAATGATATACAGCTATATAAATAAAATTGAATTCGGGGGCTGAAGAAGATCGCAAAAAGTAGCCTTTTGTCTTCCTGAAAATTAAAAGATAATCAAACTGTTGTCCTTTCTTCCAAGCTTCCCTATAGAGACCAAACTATCCTTCTGGAAGAGTCGTGGAGTGAGTTGTTTGTACTAACAGCCGCGCAATGGAACTTTCCTGTGGACGAGACCACCCTAGTACCCGTGGATCTGCCGATGGAACGGAGGGAGGTTCTTCTTGATAAAGCGAGAAGGCTGAGGGAGCTATTAGCGAAGTGCGCCGCGCTGAGGGTGGATCATTCGGAATACGCGTGCTTGAAGGCCATAGTTCTCTTCAAGGCAGGTGAGTAAGCTAAGTTAAAACTACTCTACTTTTGATCTCTTCCGTAATTATTCCTATCCTCTCTTCTCTCCTTATTTTATTTATCTAAAGGTATTCAACTGGTAACTCTACTTCATCAATATCGTTCTTAACTTTTCTATAATTCTCTTTGATTTAATTTTTACTTATTTAATTATTTTTTTCTTTTTAATATAAATTTTGCTTGCCTGATGTGCGAATATTACACAGCACACTTTGGCTAGTCTCATTTATTGAACTTGTTGTAAAATCTGTATCTTTTGATATTTCGATCGTTCGACAGAGTCGCGAAATCTCTGCGAGCCGGGGCGAGTGTCGGCGCTGCAGGAGCAGACGGTGGCGGTGTTCTGTGAGAGGGATGCGCGCAGAGTCGGTCGATTGCTGCTGCTCTTACCACCGGCGCGTGCACTCTGCCGTGCCACCCTGCACGAACTTTTGTTTAAGTCGACGGTCGGCGATGTCAGCGTGGAGCGACTGTTGGGCGACATGGTTGGCGCCCTCAAGCCCACCTAACTGCTGGCACTCGTGCTGCTCCTGCGATATCCGTGCGTTTTACCGACACCCCTTTATCGGTGATGCCGAAACTCGAACGAAGGATAATCATCGGGGGTTGAGATTAAATGCATCTCTCTCACATCATAAAATTGTAAGAGATAGATACGTATCTGTAAGAAAAATATTGAATTATTTTGAGCATTTTGGGTAACATATAAATAATTTACTTTTGGGAAATCAACGCTGAAGAATAGAAGAAAAAAAAAAATTGAAAAAAGAAGAGAAAAAAATCAATACTGGCATATATGATCGGTTTTGTTGTCATAAGTAAGTCGCATATTATTGATTATTCTAGATAATCAATCTGGATAATCAAGATCGTCTTGACTAAATCATTGCTATAAGTAGCCTAATTACAGAATATATAAGCAGCAGAATATATAAGCTTAGTTATTGTTCTTGAGTCACGTGACTCAATCTGAAAAGTATAGTTATAGAGAAATTTATCAATTTTTCTTATAAATGTTTAGAAAATTTTCAGAATGAAGAACAAGGACAAAATATGACAAAGACCTCAATTCAACATGTCTTTGTCAAATTGATAAGCTTGTCTGTTATTATCTTGCACTTGTTTCATGTAGGATATAGTTCAATGCTAAACGTAATGGCATAATATAATTATTATCATTAAAATTATTGAAACAACTTATGTTATCGATATAGAGAGAGAAGGAAATGTCTTATCATCTACGACTTCCACGTCATTGACATCGATCATTTATGTTCATTTCTAATGAAATATAGATAAAGAATGAAGTTAAAATTAAAATTAATTTTGACTTAAATTATTTTTTATTTTAATCTCATTAAAATCAATTTCATTAGTAGAAATGAATATTAGATTTAAAGATATCGAATCTAGTCCAGCAGTAAACTTTTTGCTCCCTTCTAAGATGATTATCTATAATTGTTTAACGTCCATTTCTACCAATACAGATTAACTCAGTTTAATTTATTCTTTTTTTAATTCTTAGAATTAAAAAAGAATAGAAAATAAATTAAACGAGATTAAAGTTAATTTACCTTGGAAGCAATGGGCATATAGCTCTGTTTTATGTATTATTTTATAATTAAGATTATAATCTGGAAAAGAACAGTCGGTTAGAGCTAACTAGTGATATTCGGATTATTCTAAATCGTATAAGATAAGCAATAAGTGACAAAGATAATAGATAATTCCCGTTGCCAGCCAGTTTATCGAATTATGATACGTCGCGTTGGTTGTGCCATGATAAAATGCGCAAAACAGAAACAGCAGAAGAAATACAGCAGAAGGGAAACGTTTCAAATTTCATAAGGCAACGACAATTTCGCTTATCAGAATACTAAATAGCGACGAATAGAATTATCGAGTACGCGTTATTGTCAATCGTGTCGATCATTTTCATGTGTGCGTATATAGTATACATAGTATACATAATATACATAAATTGGGCTTTGCGCAATGTAATATTTATGCCCCTCTTAATTGGACATATATATATATGTACATACCTATCCTAGATATAAATAACTTCACCGAGCATCTGTAACACATCGCAAATTGAATGTATTACATATTAAAGCGGCACAAATGCGTATTCGTGTGATTACTTAACTAATTAATTAATAGTTCCGTTTATTACGCTCGTCATGTCACTAGTCAGATATACAATATGTATATCTGAAAAGAGAAACTCTCGTCATTGCTAGCGTTACTCTGTCGCTGATGTTATTTCTGTATAGTACAATATTTCTTCTTTACGCGCAAGAGTGACCGAAAATTATCTAATCATGAGCCGGTCATTTTTCGACGATCAAAATTAATGAATATTGTTTCCGAACATTGTTCTCTCCATGGTAATTAAACTGGAATAAATTCCTCTAGGAAACGTCTGTTTATTTTTCTTTCCTCAAAAAAAGATAATAACATTTTTTAATGGATAACAAACCTTTTGAATTACTCTTACTCTTTGAAATTAATTGTAAAAAAACAAAAATAATAATTTATAGAAAGATTTTGAATTATTATAAATGTCAAATAGTTTTTGTTATAAAATATTTACGCAGAAAAATATTTACTAATATTTTACAATTTTCACTACTTATTTAAAATTTCATAGTTTGATATGATTGATATTTCACTTTAAAGCTCTTCTTTATACAAACAAAAATCATTAACATGCACGAAATCCTTAGCGTAATTAACATGAAAAAATGGCGAAAGAACGACAAAACTCACCAATTTTTTTTTTTTTATTAACTAGAATAATTTATTTTTCTCATGGTAGAAAAAGGAGAATGTATCTTAACTCACGAACTGCATTGTACTTATATATATACAATTACATACAATCCTCAATTGAACGTTACACATAAACTCATTACACATCGATTTCTCATTACTTCCTTGTCGTGAATGCGTTCCCAAAAGAAAAAATTGCTCGCTGTATTATCAGAAAATACGATCGATCCGATTGTTTAACGGAGTGGGAAAAATTGCTCCGATTGCGAATGCAGTTTTGTGTGTGTGTGTGTGTGTGTGTGTGTGTGTGTGTGTGTGTGTGTGTGTGTGTGTGTGTGAATTATTTTTTTTTCTTTTTGCGCGTAAACTGAGAGAAAGGAGTCAGGGAGACAATGAAACAGAGTTCGAGAGGGAAAAAAGTGGAAAAGTGGAGAATTCTGTGTAAGGAAAGTTTAGTACAAAGGAACTACACGCGCGCACGCGTGCATAGTGAATATACGTCTGTGTACGTGTATATGTGTGTGTGTGTGTGTGTCTGTACATGCGTTTATGCGGATGGAAGGATTTATGCGGATGGACGTTTATCATCGATGGGAGCATTTCATGACGGAAAAATTTCGAGGCTCACATTCGCAGTATCTCGTCAGCTCGGTATATTTCCGTCTATCGAATCGCGAGTCGCGATTCGCGTGTAACCATTCTCGGACAATTAAGATTATTGATAGCAAGCGGTAGCTGGAAGAAAACGAAAATATCCGGCCGAGCTGAGCGATGGCTCGAGATAATTTTCTAACATGAGAGACATACATTTGAATTCGAACGATTTCTCGATTATCTAAGATGTTTGTGCAAAATAACTCAAAAGATCTAATATTCTCCAAAATTTACCATTATTTTTAATTCAGTGAATTATTGAAGTATTGAATTCTTTTGAAGGTTATGAAGATTCTTAGAAAATTTTGTAAGTATTTTTGCTCAAAAATCGAATTTTTTTCATCTAAAATTACGCAATATAACTATTCGAAAATTCAAATGTATCTCTCTCTCCTCTCTCTCTCTCTCTCTCTCTCTCTCTCTCTCTCTCTCTCTTTCTTTCTTTCTTTATTTTTTTCTACGATAATCGCAATTTTCTTTTCTTTTCTTTTCGTTTATGTGAGGAATTGTTCTCGTTCTCGCTTTCCAATGCTCGCTTACGCGCCCGCTTCATCTCGATCCTCGCTTCACTTCATTGAATCGCACTTTTGATCGGAGTAATTTGATCGGAGAACAACGAGAAACCTGTGACTTTTTTTTAAAATTAATTTTCTAATGATAAAATCAATGGCAATTGACGAAATCGTTAATTAATAGCTATTTTTCAATTATTGGTCACATAAAAACATTTATCGCTATCGATCTTATCATTAAAATAAATCGTTGTGACTTCAATTTGACAAATGGATGACATAACGGAAGAAGCAAAATATTCCCGTTTTACGGATTACGCACACTTCATATTCGGATCGATCGAGGACCGAGGTTCGCAGGCGCGTTAACGTTACAAAAAGAAAAAGACGCGCGTGCATTCGTGTTCGCTGAATCTCTCCTCTTCCTGTTTCCCTGTTGCTTGAATGCGCGACGAAATACTGTCGACGCCTTACTTCTACCTTGACTTTTTCTCGTGTTTTTTCCTTTCTCTTAAAAGATGAAAAAAAAATGAGACAAACACAACGGCATTTCAACTATTTTCCTCCATTTCAACACTAATATGTAAGGACAAAAAACTAACAGATTTCGGCATAATAACAAATCGCCGTGAACCGACGGTCCGAAGGGAGTTCCGAGAGAGCGAATCTGGATAAGTCCTGCTATTCGGGACGTTCGTTTCTCTTCTACGCAATTTTTTCGCTCTCGAAACTTTCGGACTAACCGGCAAACAGCGAAATATAACAGGTTGTCGGCTCTGACGAGAGATCGTCATCAAGAATTCTCGAGAATTTTTCTTTATTCTCAATCTTCTTTATTCGCGAATCATCGACGTCGATGATTATGATTGTATGCTCTTCTATCTCATTTTTTGCAAACTTTGAAATATCTCATTATAATTGTCTTTTCTATTTCCGTTATTTTTCTTTAGACTAAAAAAAAAAAAAAACAAATTATTCTTATTTTATCAAAAAATCGCTCACTGTGAAATTTTTCGTACAAATTTTCGGAGACCCGACGAGATTCCCGAAATAAGGATAAAGCAATTGGCAGTGATGTATCACCTTATTAATTAACATTGACATTAATTAAGGATATTTATATCCTCTACTTTTTACATTTTTCTTAATTCGGAGCAGAATGTTCGCCGGAATTCCACGATAATATTTGATTTACTTGTCAAATCACGATTATTCAATCGCGCTTTATTGTAGAAATCTCCATCACAAAAGAGCATAAAATGAAATCGAAAATGAATTCGAAGAAACATGAAAAAATTCTGCGATCAGGAATATCAGAAATTCTCGAGAAAAGTCCGCAATTTCGACGACCCCATACTATATACATTCGCGAGGGGGAGCACCCGCAGGACATCGATACCCCAAGGAAAGGGGGTTGTATCGAGCTCCTGGGGATGCTCCATCCTCTCCCCCCCCCCCCGGCAGAGCACGCAAACGCAATAATCTATTATCTCGTAATTGTTTATAGTCGTCGCTACGCTCGCACGTTAGAACTATTTTCTATTGTTATGAAGCGATGATGGGATAGGGTGAGGTTCATTTGCCTGCGTTATCAGCGTAATTGTCGCGCGTTGCTATGACCGTTTGTCTCGTTTCGCGCATCGGCATCCGAATTATTACGATTGTTAAATCCGCCGGCGATGATAAGCGCAGAATCTCCGCTTCCTCCCGCCTCGAGGA